TTTAGACTATCAAAATACAAGACATGAATGAAATACTTGTTTTAAATTATTTAATAAATCAATTATTTATTTTAAATAATATTAAATTAATACTTAAAAAGAAAATAATTACTCGTCTTAGCCTTAAAGAACTGTTGTAAATGCTTAATTTCTCACTTCACTTCTTAATTATTAGCTATTAATTAAATGTGCATATAATTATATGAATTCTATTGTAAATGAAAATTTTTAATATATCTAATGACATAATAATAATAACACAAATAAATAATTATGCCATTCATTACCTTAACAAGATTTGGTTTGGTTCCTTACACGTCTCTTCTTTTCTCTTATAACTCTAATTGATTCACCTATTCCACTGTTATATTTGATTAAATTAAACATGTTATTAGCATTTAGCAAGTACACCAATATTTCACATCCAAGTAATTAATATAAGTCAAACTTACCTTACCAATAATTGTTCAACTTGATAGTCCTTCTCAAGCAATTATCCTCTAATAATGCCTGACTTAAATTCATTAATTTTAATTGTGTATTATAATCTATTTAATTACATAAATTTATATATGTAAACATTAAAAACATCTGATACTTACCTAAAGCTTTGATCCCATACACACGGTTCGCTTCCGGGTCTTATAACGCTAACACGTGCGAACAGTTTCTCAGATCCTTCCCTTCTTCCTCCTCTCCTTTGGTCTCGAGTCATCCCCACAAACCAAGTGTAGGACCTCCTTCCTTTGTACAAGCCGCATGCAAGGATCATCGACTTCGACGCAGATAGCACTCGCGATCTCCTTCTTCCTCTTCTTCAGCTTCTTCTCCTTCGCACTGACCACCGTAAGGAGCCGTAGGTTCCTCCTCTATCGCAGCTTGGTCCAGGTAATTCTTCGATGTCGCCACCTCCCTCTCCTTCCTCTACCTTCTGTCTCGACACAATATTGCAGATTCTTCTCCTTCGCATGGCTAGATACTGCACATTGGCTGCACGTTTCTTGTGCGACTTCTTCTTCATTAACTAGGGATCAACCGTTTTTCTTTTCAATCTCTCATGTTGTCTCTTGATCATTCTCATATTGGTTCGAATGTGGAGTAATATGACTCTTATGTGGTAACTGAAGGGATGCTTATCTTTCATGCCTATTCAATTAATTGCTATTATTATTAATTTCTGTTATTACGAAATGATCAATTTTCTTTGGAGAAGATACACACATATATTGACTAAGGCTGTAACTAAAGATATCCTTGGCTTCAGTTGGAGTTCAAGAAGGTTGAGATAAGTATGAGCCATCCTACAATTTATTACTATGAAGATGTTGCGGTTTTTTTGGAGGAGCATGTTTGATTGCAATCAGTCTCCTAGTGAGAGATTATTATTATGTGGGGTCTAATTGTGTCAATCAATAGGTTATTCAAAGCTCAGTTCTGTTGGTCAAGCGTGACTGTGAGTTTGCTCAAGGGTTACGAGGGAGGAGTGGCCCTCTGTATTGAAATTTTTTTTCGTATTAGGCGCAGAAGGCTCGGATCCATCGCCCTAGCGCTTTAAACCTGAGCTCTTGATGCCCCAACACCAGGTGGAGGCGCCAAAGGTACAGGTCTAGAACTCGAGCTCAACTCGGGGAAAGAAAATTAGGCTTGAGCTTGGCTTGGTTACTCAAGCTCGATTGGAAAGCTCAAGTTTGACTCGTTTCATAAGCTTGATTGTACTTAAAATTTCAAATGTTGGTTTAAATCAAGAAATTGGAAAAAGCTGTAGATTTATATTGCAATTGTCTAAAAATAAATCAAATGCCCTTCTCCACAAAAATTTTATCATAAAGCCCAAAAAGAATTTATTCAGATAAAAAACATTACATTAATTTGACGAAATTCATATGCATTTACATATCTAGACCTAAACTTTATTTCATGTTTGGAGCCAAAGCCGTGATCTTCTTGTTCATCCTCTCATCAATACCAAAGAACACAGTGAAATTACCACTCAAAACTATGTTCACATAAAGATCTTTCCTGATATCAACGTCACACTTCATAATTGAATTGTATACTTGTATGCTGTATCATTGATGCCTTATGCCAGAAACAATCTACAACCATGATCACTAAGCATAGGATTGAAAAGAAAATAGAACTTGTTAAACTTTGAAATTTAATATCATGTGGAAGGTGGTATCGAAGAAAAGGAAATGCTAAAATTATCCAAAATAGAAAAAAAATATAGGGGCTACTTGCATACCACTCAATTCCTAAGCATTTACATATCTAACACCTACTGTTTTCTTTTTTACATTTATACCACCCAAATCTTTCATAACACATAAAAAATACAAACATTTTAAATTTTAAAAAATTTTAAATTTTAAAAAGTGAATAAATAAATTCATGCATCATAGGAAAGGTTGTTTGTATGCAAGAATTGAAGTTCAGGTGTTGTAAATGTAAGTACATATAAATTGAGTGGTATGTATGTAAATCTTCCAAAAATATATATAATATTGAAAAAGAAAACATTCTTTAAGCAAGTAAAGGCCTCAATTTGTGTTCAATGAGAACAAGAAGCATGAACTTTGGTGCTGACAAAATCAATGGAAAACAGAAACAGAAAAATGCAGCATTCAAATGAATCCAAACCTAATTCATCAAGCCCGGCTATTTTGTTTTTGACCCCCCTTTTAGGCTAAATTCCAGGCTTTCAATTACAATTTACATATAACATGTAGCAATAATTGCTTCCAATTACAATTTTCATATAACTTGTAACAATAATTAAACCTTACACACACGAAGACATTAAGAAATTGAAATTATGCGAAAGACTAAAAATTCATCAACTCATGAAATTCTTTGTTTTTAGTATATTATAAAATATATCATTCGTCCAAATGCAAAATATATTAAAACTAAATTAAAGTCAAATAGATCATAAAATATTTTGTCTCTAGTAGATCGCAAAATATATCATTTGTTCAACTATAAAATATATTAAAACCAAAATAAGATCATAAAATTCTTTATTTCTGGTAGATCGCAAGCACCATCATTTTTAAAATATATAAATACATGGAAATTAAGTGTTATTTATGTAAATCTTTCAGATGAAAAAAGATAAAAAAACTATTGATTATTAAACTAAATCTAACTAACTTATAAATGAAATACAATTCATTGTTTTTAAATCATATTTCCTAACTTCAACTCTTTAAGGAACCAAATTATCACTTAAATTAATCAAGAAAAGCAAACAACAAGCAATTCGACATCCTAAGCACAAAGCCAACATAAACATCAGAAGGCAAACCAAACCCTCTTGAATGCCTCTAAGCCACTACCTCGTTAAATGAATAATACAGAGAACTAGAAAATGAGATAAAATTTTACCTAAATTTATGTTTTTTTATACATCTCCAACAAACTGTGATGTTTCATAAAAGCATGTGCTAGTTTGATTTAGGAGCTCAGTGATGGTCGGTGGGCAGTGAATGTGAGTGTTGCGTGTCGACACCAAGCGGTGGGGAGACGAGAGCTGCGCGAACGCAAATTATTGGGGAATGGTGATTGTGACTTCACATCTGATCGAGCTCTGCTGTGCTGCTCCTGGGGAGTAGGAGGGTGTAATGAGGTTATGAGACATAAACAAGAATACGAGATTGTGATTTGGGAATAGGCGTTTACGGTTTCAAAATAAGAATTGAATAAAAAATGGCCTCCAATCAGACGATCAGATTTTGGCCGTGCGACTAACGCGAGTGACTTGCAAGAGGTAGCAATGTTATGCCTACATGCAACTTAATCGAGCTGCTTGACGAGTTTACGAGTTGAGTCATGAGAAACTTGAGCTCGAGCTCATGTATTATATAAGCTAGGTTGTAAGCTCGAGCTTGAACTCAAGGGTCAACAAGCTCGACTGCGAGCTCGTTAATGAGTCGTATTCTAGTCAACTTGCAAGCCGACTTGACGTATATACACCCCTTAGCCCCAACGCTAGGAGCGGACACCACAATGCCCAATCGTAGTGCCAGTACCCGCATTCGGGAAGTTCGGAGCTTAAAATCTTCCAGTAGGATTTGTGTACGTAGACATGTTGGATTTCAATTTCTCTTGTGCGAAAGAGAGAGCTTGAAGTTTTCAAAAGTTTAGAGAGATTTGAGTGGTGTGATTTCTACAATTCTCCACCTTTTTATATTTAATTTGTTGGTGTGACGTGACTCCCTGGTTTTTTCCCGTACTCGAGTTTTTCCACGTTAAATCTTTGTGTTCTTTGCGTATTATGTGTTTTCTGATTTGTGTGCTTCTGTTCTAAGTTTTGTTTAGATCTTTTGAGTTGGTTTCGTGGTTTGCATATGTCCCTTCCCCAATGCCTTTGCTTATATTCTCAAAATAAGTGTGTATGATTTGTAGAGCAAATTTGACACATGCAAGAGTATTTTCTTAGATTTACAAAGATGTTCTAAATTCAAACAAATTTTTGTGATGGTGGAAGCATATCTCTAGCGAAAAGGTAGTATGAATTTTCCCATCAAATTACTAGATTTGACTTCAGTGCTGGTATGCTTGCAATAATTAGGTTCTATTGTGACATGGAGGTCAAAAATTGAAGCCTGGGATAGCCTCTCTGCTAAATCGAGCAATTATAATTCTGCTTGCAGCAATTTCTGTCCACGAGTCATTACATCTTGAACTTTGGCTTTTCTCTGCCAGCTTGGTAGTAGCCTCAAATATTGGAATATCTTTTTATACCATGGTTTGAATTAATTGATGTGAAAAATCAAATTTATTATGGGATTTCCCCAAGCATCAACATGCTTGGACAAAATGTTGCAAAATGCATTGCTTTTTTGAAGAATAAAATTAAATTCAGTTTGTTTTATCTGGTGGTTGCTTCTGTGCTATACTTGTGGCATGCTATCCTTATTAATCTTGTCTATTTCTGGATCGTATGTTTGCGTTGCCAGTTAATATTTATCAAGAAAAGTATAGATGAATTTTAGCAGGTGCTTTGCAAGATGTTCTACATTTGCATGATGTCCTTGCCAGAGTTTCCCTTGCTAGATTGTGCTATATGATATCTAGAGCCCGTTCCCTGGATGGTAAATGCATTTGCAGGAAACCTGCTTTTAAGTTAATGTTTTTTTTCTGAACTTGATTTTTGTTTTATTAAAATATACTGTTGTTTGTATAGAGAGGCCAGATATAAAATCACAGTTCAACAGTATTCTCTATCAACTTCTACTTGATCCCAGCGACAGAGTTTGTTTTGAGGCAATTCTTTGTGTCTTAGGAAAATTTGATAATACTGAAAGGTGCTTGTTTGTTCCTTTGTAATGATATTTTGCATTGTCTTGAGAGACAAATTACTTCCGCTGTCTCAAGTTTTAATTTTAAGAATTAGCGGTTGATTCTGTTTACTTCTGTTCATCAAAGAACTGAAGAGCGAGCTGCTGGATGGATTCGGCTGACAAGAGAAATACTGAAGCTTCCAGAGGCACCATCTGTAACAACGAAGGATAAATCAGAGGACGGACTTCCACCAAAACCAACCAAAGAAAAAGCTTCTAAAACAAGGCGCCCTCAGCCTCTCATTAAACTTGTAATGAGAAGGTTCATGATTTTCTCTGCTTCATTTTTTTATTTGTTTTTCGCGTATTCAGTAGATTGTTAATTGCTTTTCTTAATCTTATGCATCCACTAAGTTTTTTCTTTGCCATCTTTATTTAAGTTCTGTAACTGTTTTATATTTTTTAGATTGGAGAGTTCTTTCCGGAGTTTCTCTCGGCCTGTACTTCACGCTGCTGCACGAGTTGTTCAGGAAATGGGAAAGAGCAGGGCCGCAGCATATGCGCTGGGTGCCTATGATGTTGATGAAGGAATTCAACTCAATGCATATTCTGAAAATGTCGATTCTATTGATTCAGATCAACAGGAAAGCCAACCTGAAGGTATCTTCTAGGTGAAAAATAATAATGTCCATGCTGCAGTTTTTACAAAGTATGAAAGAAGTGAAGATACTTAAATTGAAGTTGTTTCTGCGTATCTCTGTCATTGTGGATCTTGTGCAAAGGGTTACTTGGTTGATTAAAAAGATGCTTGGTCAAAATAGTGATGTGGAAGTCATCATCAGCAATTGCGATCAGCAAGTTGTCAAAAGGGTCAAAATAGCTAATTTAGGCTAAGCTAAAGAATAAAGGGTTTGATTCATTACTCTAGTCGGTATAACCATCATCAAATGACAAAAAAAGTAACACTAGGCCTAAAAATAAGAAATAACCTTGCAATGCATCTGCCCAAAATATGACAGGTTTGATAAGGTCTATTAAAAATAAAAATGCAAATATACATGCTTAGGTAGATAAGAACTAAAATTTAGGATGATGATAATGATGAATTCTTTATTTCCGAAGGATTCACTTCTGGAGAATGAAGATACAAGTACTCCAATTTCAAATGTAATTTCAACTTTTTCAACTCGTCATCGATGAGTTTTGAATTCTCAAGTGAAAAAGACCTCCATTTAAAAAAGACCTTGTCAATGAACTGACCCTCCAAATGGCTTCATCTAATGTGGTGATGATTTGGACGTTTAAAATTTGAATCTTGATGGTGAAACCTTCGGCAATGGGATGGCAAACATGTCTGTTAAGGATTATCTATTGCATGCTTGTATTATTTGTAGAGAGAATAATAATAGGCGGGGATAGAGAGAATAACAATATGTGGGGTTTGCATATCGTTCATCATTATGGCTGACACATTTAACGTTGTAGAAATGCCAACCTGCATGAGATGATCTATCTCATAAGCATTATTTTTTATCTTCTTTAGAAATCTTTAGGGGTCAGATTCTTGAGGGTTAACTTTCGAAGAGATTTGATTAAAAATATGTCAGGCCTTTCAAGTCTCCCTCATTAAATTTTAGGGTCAATTACATACAGACCACCTGAAACTTGGTTTTTACAAATCAACCATTCTCTTTCATCCATTTTTCGAATTCTCACTCAAATATCAAAATTTGTGGTAAAACCCCAACCCATATTTTTAATTTTTATCAAATTCTCAGCAGTTTGATCATGGCATGCATGAATTCATTGGTTCGGTAGTTCAACAAAATCAACTAGTGCTTAATTTGTAAATATTAATGTTTCGTGTGGTTTGTATGTAATTATCCCTAAATTTTATTTATCATCTACTTGTATCAACATTAGCTTTATTTTTATCACAGTTGAAAGTAAGTTTTGTTGAGTTTTTTGGTGTGAATTATGCATACTTTGCTTGAATGAAGATGTAAATACACTAGACTTGTATGAAATATATATATATATATATATATATAAAAGATCAATTAGTTTTATGTTTCATACATTGATGGCAACATGGAAATGAATTGTACTAATTGATTAACTAACATAACCGTTTTAGACAAGCATTGTGATAAGAGGAAGAAGATCTCAAGTACTGGCATGGTTTATCACCAAGAACCTGAACAGATCTCCAATGGTCCTATTGATAACCTTTTTCTGAACTTTAGTCTATGGATGATAAGTTGTGAAAAGTAGGAGTTTTTTTCTTCTTTAGGTATTTTAGAAATAACTTATAAATCTTAATCATGCTTAGAGACGATCAATTTAGAAAGCCCATATGGACAAACTGTCTCGTGAAAGAAGTTATCTAACATGCATCAGGCATCTTATAGAATGGAATTAAATGTCATTTTAGAAAAGTGGTTTATGACTACTAAGATGGAGATAAATTGCACAATGAGGGTAACTTGAAGACAAAGCCTATACTAAGGGACTTCCCATGGTTTTAGGGAATTTGAGGGAGTGTATATTTATGTGTCTGTTGAAAGATCTCAAAAATAATTATGATTATATTCCATATTTGTTATAACTCTATATTTAGAAGGTTATAAATTGTATGAGGGATTTTAGGATTCTCTATTTATGTTTCTCTTTAATTAGAGAGATTATTTGCTTCTTATATTTGTTATTATTCCTTTCTTTGTCTACTGTATTCTGTTTTTATTGCTTTCCTTACCAGTGAGTCCTGTAATGGGTATTTATACCCATCTTTACATCAATAAATTGCCAACTCTTCAATGAATGAATCTAAGAGTGAGGAATCTATATACAAAGATGCATTTCTCGAATTAATTAGTCATATTGCATCTTGTTAGAATTAGGAGTGGGTGTATTAGAAACCAATGACTAGTAAATTTAAGGGAAGTCTTTTTAATAGAGTTAACTTTTTATGACTTTAAAATTAATCTTTATTAGTGTGCACATACTATTCAGGACATCTACAGCTTTGTTCTCAGCATTGGAGTTGTGTTTTAGAATTGAAGTATACCGCTAAATAATTTGGTCTCATTTTGTATTATGATTGAATTTGTTTTAGATGTTAAAATAAGGGATTCATGGTCAAAGATGTAATGTCAACAACAACACATAGTTTGGACTATAACATTATCATTGATGCACTGTTTTATTTCTTGAAGTGTTAAAATTGACTTGCTATTTGAGTTCATCTCTAATGAAAACCCTAGAGACATCATATGATACCTCAAATATTTTATTTACATATTGTAATTTTATTATCTTTTGGACTCATTAAAAATTCTTTAATTTTGGAAAGGGCATTAGAGATTGCATTTGTCCAACAAAATTCACCCTTTCTGAGGGAAATGGTGATCAGAGGCATAGTGGTGTCGAATCCATGGATAAATCTTCGGTAGATGTAGCTAACCTTTCAAAAACCATGAATGTTATGCATGTTTGTTGGAGTAGGCCACATATAATGCTTGAAGATCTTGATTTTCTTAGGATTGTCATATATGATTTCACTGAATCTTAAGAAATCATGGAAGAATTCATGAAGCAGCACTTAAAGATGATTATGTAGATTTTCTCAGCAAAGCGCCTCAAAAATTTATTGCAATTTATGCAGAGGATCATCCCGTCTAACAAAATCAGAAGGCCATCAAAATAGAAGGCTCAGAGTCATTAGTTATGCCAAATGGTGTCACAATTTACTCGTACCAAACATCCTTTGTTGAGATGATTTTTTTTTAAATTCATCTCTTATTCATGTGGATTTAGTGATATGTACTCTAATTGATCTTATAAATAATATAGCTGTGCTAACCATCATAATTAAAAGCTATGAACTTGAATTATGGAAAACTTACGCATGATGTTGATTGGTATTCTTGTTGATGGCATGGCTATCCATGTTAATGCACCATGTATCATCCTTTGATGTAAGAAAGAAAGGGATTATGCATATAGGAAAAACTCTTGAATGAAGCCTTTAGACAAGAAGTCATGGACCTATCTTTTGATCTTTACATATTTTGCTAGTTTCATTTGGTAGTGAGGCAAACTGGGTAGCAAGATCTTGGCACCAAGTCTATTGGATTCTCCTCAATGGGGAAGCTTAACTAGGGCGTTCTTCTTGATGAACATCCTGAAGTCTACTCACCTAAGGTGGGAGGGTCTTAACAATTGGTTTATATGTGAGAGTTAAAATAATCATAATAAAAATAATGCTTCTTCTAATCATTTGCATATATTTATGTCTTTTAATGACTTGACGGGATTTCTTTTTTTAGGAGCTATGGATAGGTAACTTTATTAAGCTTAGTAGATTAGAATGTTTTGTTTGCCCTAATACATTAAGGCATACATGTTTAAACATTCATCTTAGATGACATCCAAATCATAAACCAAAGTTCAACCTAGAAGTATATGGATAACTTTCATGGGGAAGACATAACATTAAATGCTATTCGTGTACTCTCTCTATTGAATGGGTCTGAGGCAACTTATGGAGACAACCATGAATGTCTTATTTACCTTGACTTTGCACTGCTGTGAGTGAATTCTATTGTGAGCGCTTCATTTTAGCCAAGGCAGAAGTGGCAATAGCATTCATTTGTTGTTGCTATCAAATCAACTTACATGACTTGTCATCACTTTTAAAATATGTGTGAAAGATCTTTGTGAGCTTTCACTTAATATTAGTTTGTGGAGTAGTTAACACATAACAATAAGGTTGAACTCACCAATGTCTCTTTAGAATCTCTTGCCTTAAAGTATTCCATTGTAATGTGATCATCCTCAAGATCATTGAGGCGATCCACATCCTTAGAGTACATATGGTGTATCTTAATCACTAGGATAAGCTGAAAAATACACTATATCACCTAAATTCTGAAATAATACATTGCATACTTTTTCAATACACTCAATTTCAGTATACTTAAATATTTTAACTTAAGCGGATTTAATCCAAAATATATCATTAAAAATAAATTTATAGAGCATTTAAAACACATCAGAATTCTTACAAATAAATATAACATTTATATGTTGACTTACCTCATGTTTTTTTATCTTAATATAATTGTACAATTAAGATATATCACAAAATGAGTCTGATCCTATCCAAGCTCAACCCTTTATTTTCCTTTCCTATGAAAATAATTATAATCATTTGATGAGTTATGACATGATCAGCAAAATAAGCTAATTTAATATAGAATTTAAATAAATAAAAACAGTAGTCAACATGCGTCTTGATAAGCTTCACATTTGCCTACATGCCACATTACATCTTTCATTTTAGGCTACCAAAATGTTGATTTCATTTCTTTATACTTTTTCTATTTATTGGATGAATTAAATATGTATTTTTTTGAGTTTTATGCATTCCTTTATTCACAATTGCAAATCACTTCTAATAACTCCTTGTACGTCAAAACGTTTTTGTAATTTATCAATTGGATTGAATATTCATTTGTCTAAGCTGTCTGTTTCTTGAGCATTTTGTATTTGGATTTCTAGCTGGCTTTCGTATCCTTGATCAGCTGTTTTTTTGAGTTCATAACAAAAATGTCTTTCCTAATAGGCTTCATGCTCAGTGCCTGAACAACCACATTGGT